AGAGAGAGAGAGAGAGAGAGAGAGAGAGAGAGAGAGAGAGAGAGAGAGAGAGAGAGAGAGGACATAGACACAAGGTAAATCGAAAAGGCCCGAACGCGGCTTCCGCACAAAAAAATAGACATGGAAACTGACGGCGGAATCGGACACAGAGTCTGATGCCTGCTAAACCTGAAAAAAAATATAGTGTGCTATACCTGCCGGCCGGCTATTTGCAAGCTATTCGTACTTTGTTGGACTGTGTTTAATTGTGCGACTAGTGCGCTCTCACTGTTTGCTGTGTTCTCACTCTCTGACACGAGTTCTTTTCACACATTCTCAGCTGAACGTATTTGTGAGCCATGTTTGGGTTATGTTTTCCGTTTCTTTTTTTTGTGCTTGCAGATCGTTGGACGGGCTGGATTTGTTCGGAGTGATCCCGTCAGTGATTGGTAACCTGTCCTCTCTTCGGGAGCTGTGAGTGTCCCGCGAAGCTTTTTCTTTTCTTTGTGAATTGGACCTTATGCGACCTGCGTCTGAATGAGCATCATTATATTATTATTATTATTATTATTATTTTTTATATTATTATTATTATAATTCTATATTATTATTATTATTATTATTATTATTATTATTATTATTATTATTCAACGGAAGGCACGAGGTTTGGGTACGCACGTGATTGCTTGGCAGCCTGTCGATGTCCTTTTTTTTTTCCTTCCAGGACAACGGCGTTGAGATATGATCATCGGACTGACCGGCTCTAGGTCATTCAGAGTTGTAATATGTTACTCATCTGCTTCCAGTGGAACTCGAACTCAGCACCTGGTCTGGGGGTGTACCAACTGAGCTGGGACAGTTGGTTCCTGTCGAATTTTCGTCGATGGCTTGATTGTCTTATTCCCAGAGGCGTTAACTGATTTCGTCTCTGACGTCCTCGACGGGCGATGTGGAGATCACGTGGCAATGACTTGGCGGATTTGTGGTGACGTCTTGGTCGCTGGAAAAGTCTCGGTGTCTTCTTGGCCTCTGGTTTGTTTGGTTGCACGATTGTTTGATGGAGTGCTTGCTCTTGATCGATTGGCACCTTGGCTGATCTGTGTTGACCCCTTGTTTATTATGTACCTGTTGGTTAAGCGGGATCATCATCGTCTTCAAGTGACACGATGAAGTTATAAATGAGGACGACGACGATGATGATTTGGGATAAGGATGAGGAGTGGTCACGATCGTAATGTCACATGTCGACGACGACGATAATGATGTAGATGTAGACGATGATGGGGGGGGTAATGATGATGATTGCGCACAAAGTCGAGGACGATGATGAGGTTGACTCCCAATATGCGGCCAGAGTGATAATGATGATGATGATGATGAGAATAAGGATGAGAATAAGGATGAGGATGAGGATAATGATTATGATGAGATTGGCGCGAATGAGGTAATGGATGGATTAACGCTGCGCTCGTTTTGGTCCGGTCTTCTTCTGTGTGCTGTGCACAGGTCCATGGGGAACAACCGGTTGTATGGAAGGTTGCCGCATGCAATTTGCCGTTTGAAGAATCTTGAGAAGCTGTGAGCCTTTTTCTTTGCATTGTTGCGCGTCTTTTTCTCAACTGGATCCCTTTATGCATTGTTGCGCATTTTGAGAACCCGTTGTATATCTGGTTGAAGCCCATCTGCTTGATGTCGATTGGTCTTTTTCCTCCCCCCTTCACCCTTCCCCCACCCCCACTGCCACCCGCTCTCCCCTCTTCTCTTCCCTGTTTTCTTTTTCCCCCCGCTCTTTACCATTTCTCGATCTACTCGTGTCATCCTTGCTCAGCGGCCATGCTAATCTTCCCTGTATCATTCCAATTTCCACGGATGTCCAGAAGGACCCCCCTCCTTTTTTTTGGGTAAGTTGCAATGAATTCCTTTTGCTCTCTGTGGATTTAAAAACTTTGTGTCAACCTCATCAAATGAGTTCAAAATGTTGAGAGACGGCGAGAGCTTAGGGCAACTACCGGTAGGTCCAAAGTCTCCCAAAGTGTTGTGTAGTGGAGGTACGCCCAAAAAAATAACAATCCTGCAGGCCAAATATATGCTGAAGGCATTAGTATGCATTTTCTTTTTCTCTCTGCTACACAACAGTCTAGTACATGCTTTCTAGACCAGGTACATTCAAAATCTTCGAGTCGTCCGAATGCACCTGGCCCAGAACTTGTCCAAATGCATGTAGAATGTTGTGTAGTGGAGCTACGCCCCCCAAAAAGCAATCCTGCAGGCCAAACATGCTGACGGCATTAGTATGCATTTTATTTTCCTCTCTGCTGCTATGGGTAGTCCCACATCTTTTTGCTTCGGTGGAAAACTGCCACGGTTGTATTCCTTTTGCTTCAAGGGCAGTGGTGGTCTATCTGATGGGGTGTGGACATGTCCGTCCCATGAATCTCATTATGCACAAAGTTCGCACCATGAGCGTTTCCATTACGGCGCCTGCCTCTTTCACTGGGCCACATTGTCCTGCAGTATTGCATGGCTTTTCCTCGGTTCTTGCAAAAAAAACGAGCCCTTACCAGCTCGTATGGGGCCCCAGCCGGTCGGTTTTCAGGGTATTTGAAACGGCCGCTAATCTGCGATTAGCATTACCCAGTTGTCGCCAGTGGGCCACATTGTCCTGCGGTATTGCATGCTGAATTTTTGCAAAACCGAGCCATTACCAGCCCGTATGGGGCCCCGGCCGGTCGGTTTTCGTGCGATTTGAAACGGCTGCGGTAATCTGGGATTAGCATGACCCGGTTGTCGCCCGCCCGGTCAGTGGAGCTCGCCCCTGACTCTTTTTTTTTTTTTTTTTTTTTTTTTTTGAAACCCCCCCGCCAGTGTTAGTGCTGCTGATAAGAGCAGACACCACTAACACGTGGGAGAGGCTCCGTCTATTGGTGGGGAGCTGTACGGTATCTAGGGTGCCATACGTTATTAGCAGGCTAGCAGGCAGATCGCCCCAATCCAATGCGACTGAACATATTACCGTGTTTTTTTTTTTTTTTTTTTTTTTTTTTTCATGTTCAGACAACCACCAGGTAGATGTCAAGGGAGGAAATTCGAAATAGAATTGGGTCCTCCAGGACATGGATTCAGAGAAGATTACCCCTGGACAAGGATGAAGCTCAAGCAGGCAGATCACCCCAACCCAAGGTGACTGAACATATTACATGTTCAGACAACCACCAGGTCGATGATGACAAGAGAGGAAAATCGAGCTGGATCCTCCCGGGCATGGATACAGAGAAGATAGGCATAGCCCCTAGACAAGGATGGTACACAAAAATCAAGAAAATGGAGATGGTAAATGGATGCAGCTGGTGGGTATGATTTTGCCTGATGAGCAAGTTGAATGTGAGCAGAGTTGAGAGGATTGCCCTATGATGGTTAGGGCACACTCACACTAGCTCCTTCTCCCGAACACAATGCGTCCACATGACTGTACTCAACTGGAAAGATTGATTGTATATATTGAGGACGAGGGTACCTTCCTTCCACCGTAGTTGTCGATTTCTGTGCTGTGGTAAGCTCGCCGTTCTTTCTGCAACTTGGTGCTGCTGATAGCCATTCTTTCTGAGTGCAGTGACCCGCATAGAATCCGTCTGAGATTTCTGCTGTTTTTTTAGTATTGCTGCTTGCTGGTAGGACTTTCCTGGTGGGTATGATTTTTACCCGACGAGAAAGGTGATTTTGAACAGACTTAAACTGCCACTACCTTTGAGGCTGGAGTCCCAAGTGGGAATATAACCTATACTGCATTCTTCCTGCCGTTGGGCTGCCACTGATAAATTTCATCGGCTGCCTTCGTGTGTTACCGGCCTGTGAAACTCACGGGACCTCACCTGCGGCCGATGTATGACAAAGGTAGTGGTCCTTCAAGAGGACTGCCCTATGACTGTTAGGGCACACTCACACTCTCTTCTTTCCCTCAAAACGATGCACCCTCGTGACTTTACTCGGCTGGAAAGGTTGCTTGTATATATTTAAGATGACTGCGTGGGAAAAGATGGTAGGACCTTCGTGGGTGGAAATCTGTCGAAAAGGTTGCAGTGTGATCATGTGATGCTCAACCTCACGCCCTGCTTGCTTTCCTTGTCGAAGTGACTAAAGCTCGGAAACGGGCCTGGAAAGCGGCAAAATGGGGTCTGCCAAGGATTTTTGGAAAATTGAGTGTGGAGGCGCAGACAGAACTGAAATGTCCCATGTGGTCTCAGATATGGAGCGTTGCCCGTTCGCAGTTGGGAGGAACGCGCCTCGTTGCACTCTTCCTTACGAGTGGAAGATTGTTCCGAGAAACGAGCCGGTTGAGTCGATTGAAAGAGCGAATAGCACCTCTGAGAACAACCTTTAACAAGGAGAAAATAGAAGAAGACCACATGCATCCATCATTGATACATCACTGGAATCCCAAACGGAGAGGAAGAGAGAAGACACATTTCATCAATGAACCATCACCGGCCCCGATTGTCGCCCAGCGAGATCTTGACAATGAAAGAGCGGGACGCGGGACGCAATTTAAAACCCACTCCCATTCACAGATTATCAGCCGGTTGAGTCGATTCAAAATGAAGATAATGCAGGAGGAAGTTCGTTAGTCTGGAGTGTTGCGCGTTCGCAGTTGGGAGGAACGCGCCTCGTTACACTCTTCCTTACGAGTGGAAGATTGCCCCGAGAAGGAGGGGGGGGGGGGCGAGGGGGATTCATTAGTCTGGAGGGTTGCACGCTTGCAGTTGGGAGGAACGCGCCTTGTTACACTCTTCCTTACGAGTGGGGGGGGTGGGGGGAAGAGGGGGATTCGTTAGTCTGGAGTGTTGCGCTTTCGCAGTTGGGAGGAACGCCTTGTTACACTCTTCCTTACGAGTGGAAGATTGTTCCGAGAAACGAGCCGGTCGAGTCGATTGAACGAGTGAATAGCACCTCTGACAACAACCTTTAACAAGGAGAAAATAGAAGAAGACCACATGCATCCATCATTGATACATCACTGGAATCCCAAACGGAGAGGAGGAGAGAAGACACATTTCATCAATGAACCATCGCCGGCCCTTGCGTTTCAACGATCGTTGCCCAGTGAGATCTTGACAATGAAAGAGCGGGACGCGGGGTGCAATTTAAAACCCACTCCTATACACAGATTGTCAGCACAAAGCAACACAGGCAAACATTATCCACTTCATATATCCATAGAAAAAGAGGAGGGGAGGAGAGAAGTATACACTCGCACGATTATGGAAGGAGAAATTGGCATCCCGCCAGGCAACTTAACTTCAACAATGGCAAGAAGAAGAAGAAGGAGACAAGGCGTAATGCCTTTCGCTCTCGAACTATGGCCCCAGGCCACCTGATCAATCACCAACACACATTTCCTGGCTCGAGCATTGGCGGTCCCAGCCTCCACGTATCCAGCTCGAAAACCCAGCGATTGTCGCCCCGTCTACTCAATTACGATGCGGATTCGCCTGGATCCTGCAGTGCGTCACAGCGATCCAGTGCGCAATCCCGCAAAGTTGTGGCCGACTCGTCAGGACTTTTTGAAGCGCTGATTACCACCTCATCTAGCCGCTACTCCATGAAAGTTGGCCGATGTATTTGGAGAGAGCAAAAACAACGTGCTTGCGAGATTTATAGTTGCGAAGAAGAGGAAGAGAGGCTACAGAGAGAGGATGAAGGAAGGAGGGGATGAGAAAGGGGGAAACATTAGGAAAGGCGATGCTGATCCACATGAAGTACTTCATAGCCAGTCGAATCACAAGGTGAGGAGTTCAGAACCTCCTTGCACGTTGCCGTATGACTTCTACGAGTACTTGGGGGAATGGCGGGGCTTTCCTGCATGTGAATGAAGGCGTGAAAGGAAGTTACGAAAGACAGAGTGGAGCAAGACCAAGATTCAACAAAAGTGAGTAGAGAGAAAGGCCCTGAAGAAAGGGAGAAGAAGACAGTTACAGCTTGTCGCGAATGTCGCAAAGGAGGTTGGGGAAGCGTGGGAAAGAATGCTTGTGGAAGCGTGGCACAGAAAAATGCATGTGTGCAGAATCAAAAAGGCACCAAGACAGTTACACGAAATGTCAGTGAAGCTATGCCTAATTCTCAAAGCTGTCAGTGAAGCTATGCCTAATTCTCAAAGCCTGATTGAAATTTAAAAGTCCAAAAGAAAATTCCACGGGCGAAATCTAAAACACGCGAGTTCCAACGCCTGTTCCTATTCTAACATCCATCAACAGAATTTTCACAGGGCTTGCAGGGGCATCTCCAAAAGTGTACATGCACAAAGATAGGATTTGTAGCCAAGTATCCCAATGGGCACCTGCGATTTCCGAATTAAAAAAAAACTGAGTAAAAAGCATTCCGAGTGTGCTCGCTGAGGCGTGCGTAAATCCTACTGTAAAGGTACAGCAAAATACAAGGAAAATTCTGCAAAATGTGGAAGTGAAAAGTCAGGATTTGCCGACGTGTCCACATGTATTAGGGCCCAACAAGGACGAGCCCTGCGAACAGCGAGACGCTCAAAACCACAACCGAAAAATGCTGAGCCCGACGTCAGTGTTCGCTGAAAAACGCATCCTGGACCGGGTAGAGGAACTGGAACTGGAACTGGATTAGATTGACCCAGGTTACTCAGAGAACATGAAAAAAAGGGGCTCAGGAGTCGCCTATGCACAGGAGTTGGTGCGTCTTAGTCATCATTCCCTCTCTTTGGACGATCCCCTCTTCTTGCATTGCAATTTGCAACCACTCCCATGTCGCGCACAACAGTTCCTATTTTCTGAACTCGTGTATCCCCCCATGATGATCTGAATCACAGGTCACATGTCCTTCTAAAGCGTAAGCCCCCACGGGCCAGAAGTTCCTGGGTCTGTTCTACATTTCTCTATGTCTGAGTCTGAGGGGTGTCCAGCTCGAAGGCGACGTCAGCAATGTTGAAGTCAGCGACCAAGTGTCCACCCAACAGTTTGCAGGTGGAGATTCCAGTGGCCTGCCTGGGGCTGAGGTCTGCCGAATTCCTGTCACGTTGTGCCTTCTTGCAGACATCCGCCCTCAAGAGGCTAGACTGCAATTAACGGGCTACAGATCTCCAGTGGATGGAGGCCACTGCCGTCTTCACCCACCTGGTCATGATAGCTGTATTCCGGCCAACATTCAGTCTGCATACAGCCATAATGACTGGGCGTTCTATTCGGGTGGAGATGGTAGGCAAACTCCTATGCCTACAGACAGACATATTTCTGCATATTTTGGCAGTCTGCGTCAGACCACCCCTGTCTGGAGGAAATGGTGGCCACGGCTCGAGGCTGCAAGAAGTTTCCCTAGCCATGGGATATTTGGGTGTATAGACCACACCGACATGTGACCTCCTGGAATCGGCAAGGGTGTGAAATTCACTGGTACTTTAACCCTTGAGGTAATACCATTTGGGTGTATAGACCATACCAAAATGTGGTCTCCTGGAATCGGCAAGGGTGTGAAATGCATTGGTGGTTTAAGACTTGAGGTAATACCATTTAGTGTCCTGTGTGGCCTGTCAGATTTTGATGTGAGGATGACGGATGGTTCATGCATAGCCTCCTAAATTTCAGTTGGCTGGCAATGTCATCCTTCCATGGTACTGTGGGTTCAAACTACCACTACAAAGGAGAGCCTCGGAGTCTCCCTCTTTCCTGACTGGTCACCCAGATTTCCCCTTCTCTGAATCCAGTTTGGTGCTGGGCCTTTTTGGCTTGGCAGGTCAGGTCTAAATGTACCAATGGTTTAACGGTCCCTTGCATTGTTGAATACAAATTGCCTTAAAGTGTCCCTTACACTGTTGGCTATAGATTGCCTTGGTATAAGTTCTCGCCATATCTGAGTTTTTATCCAAGTTGGCTGGGGTTACAGTATATGCTTTGTTAGTATTTCTGTCCTTTTCCCCCCTGTACATGCATCCAGACATTCTAGGGTCGATTGATTTCATGTCAATTTGCTCTGATTTTGTTCTTGTTCACCCACTCCACCACTTTTTTTTGTTAAGAAACACGATGAATTTTGGCTTTTTCTTGCATCCAAAGCGATGCAATACTCACGTTTCTTGTGTATGTGTGGGTCTTTTTCTCGATACCTTTGTTTGCAGATGGCTCAACGACAACGAACTGAGTGGGCCCATCCCACCAGAAATTGGCAGCTTGATTGAGCTACGCAGCATGTATGTAGAGGGTTCTTTGTATTTAAAAACTACAGAGCGATGATAAGTCTTTGTTCCATTGGCCCTTCATAGCTTCCCCATCTGACTTAGCTTTTTTTTCCCTTTTTTTTCCCCATCTGGCTTATCTTGAGACGTGGACTTTGTTTTCTTTTCTGATCTGGCAGTTGAATCTGAGCCACGGTGCCGCCTTGTGATTATGGATCAAATTCACCTCCATCTCCCAATTCACAGCAAGATATGGGCATCTTCCATGCTTGATATTGATATCACACATATATATCGCTGTGGTTTGTAGTTCTAAAATTCTTTGTTCAAAGGGTGACAGTCGAGAACCAACCGCCCCAGGTAATTCAGAATGATTTGATTTCATTCTAGTTCCATCAGAGGCTTGCCAGCACTTCCTTCGTTCGTACCTCTGCCAATCCGATCATCACGGCGATACGATATTATGCGGGGTGTTTCTTAGGCGGACACCATCCATTATGTTGCATTGGAGTTACATTGCTAATCTTGGTTATAATGAGACCTCCTAATTGTAAACCACGTAAGGCGGAAGCCTTTCCATAACCTAAACCTTTGATGATTCTCAGTTCAACTGATTTAAAAAAAAAAAAAAAAAATGGAAAAAAACAAGGCTCCTTTTATTCTGGGGCGCAGAAGTCCGGTTCCTGTTCCACCAGCAAGTCAAAACATCAATTCAACTGACTTATTGAAACTCACATCTGTATTTACACAGTTCATGGCTGGGCCAACTGAGCTAGGCCTCCTTTGGTATAGCATCGTAGTAGTTATAAAATCCACCTCTTGCTGGAATTCTAGTAGCATGTTTGGTTTGAATTTCGAGCACCCGTTTGTACTTCCTCTTCATTACAACTAGAGGGGCGAACATGCATGCTCGAATTGGGGTTGGAAATTAAAGGCCTTGAAAAATACAGTGCAATGTGTGAAACAAGTTGTGGACTCGGGACTCTGTTAAGATGAGAATGTCTGTCATGGGGTCATTCTGGCAATGTTGATACGGCGGTTTGTGAGATTTGTGGGGTTTGTCATCGAAATGAAAGAAAAGGTCAGTCAGTCGTGGTCTGTTCAAGCAAGCAACCAATGATTTTATTTGTGCACTGTGGGGTATGTTTCAGATGGCTGAACGGCAATAAGTTAACTGGCATGATTCCTTTCGAGTTCTCCAAGTTGGTGAAACTACAAAGCCTGTGAGTCTCTCTATCCTGCCATCTTGCTTTGCAATTGCTTTTGGTAATGATTGAGTCTTCCATTCATTTTTTCAATTATTTTTTCAATGCACAACATGTGTCAATGAGATTGAGATTGATTCTTTTCTGTCTCATTGAGCAGAGTAGAATACCTTCTTGTTGCGTCAGGACCATAAGGACCTGTAGAAAAAGGAAAAAAGAATCCCTTCTTTTTTTGAAGTTTTATCATTTTTCCCTACCTCACACTAGCTACCTACATACCTCATGCTATCTGCCCACGTATGCAGGACATTCAGGACAAGAACGGTGAGGTCCACGTCTATGTACCTAAGGAGAGGCGGGCTTTCTCTATCAACTCTACTCTGTAAACACCTTGCCCACTTTAGACGGCCGTGGTGGATTGAAGTTCATTGAACCCAAGACCTCCTAATACCACATGCATGCTCAACCAAGTGAACTAGGCTGCTGACGGCGTAGAATCCCTTCTTTATTTTCCATCTATTGTCTGTAAATACTAAATATACATGCTGTCATGCACAGACACCAGAGATCTGGCTCGACTGCCTTTGGTGATGATGTATTCTACTGTGTTTTCTTTATAAACACCATCTGATCAGAAAGAACAAATTTGTATCGGTGAGGAAAAGGAGAATGTCCTTTTTCTTGTTTTTTATTTTGTTTTCAAAGAAAGCTGTGGTTTTATTATATGAACAATCAATGAGGCTGGGAATTCCGCAACATCTCAACTGGGAGAGTGCTGATGCCATTACCCAGATTTGGCTTGAGCTGGAATGTGGGTCCAGTGTCCCCATATCTGCAACTTCAACAAAAATCTTAACTGGACAAATGAACACAAATAGAAATGAAGGAGGAAGCCTTTTCTGTTTCTGTATTCCTTTCCGTCCTGGTGTTTGCCATGTTCGTTGTCCTACTCGTTCTCAAGTTTCTTGTGTTCCAAATCTTCCTCTTTTTCCTTATCTTCCTCTTTGTACCCTCACTTCTCGTATAGCTTTTTTCCCCTCTTTTTCCATCCCCTTTTCATCCTCTTCCTCCTTTCCTCCCCCCCCCTCTTTTCATCATCCGCGATCATTTATCCTCGTCCTCTCGTTTGTGTGGTCGTGCTCTTCCTCTTCCTCTTCTTTATCCTCTTCATTAGTCTCTTCTTCATATTCCCTATTGTCCACTTCCTGTCCTTCAGTGTGTTTCCTTCGTTTTCTCCTTGCTCTTGTTGCTGTTTCATCATCGTCATCATCTTCTTCTCCAATGCCCGGGCGAGGTATGCCAGAGCCACCGGTTTGTTCGGAGCAGCGCTGTGGATGCTGACCAACTGGTTAGACTAAATGAGGTGGGCTATAATACAGGAGGGGTGTCCAGATAGGAATATAGACAGCAGGCATGTGGCCTAATACAGTTGGGTAAGGAGTCAGTGGTAGCCTGGAAGCTGAGCAGTAGAAGCGTGAATATCCCTTTTTGAGAAAAAGGGTGTACCATAGTAGTAGAGCCCCGGAAAACCAGGGTGTACCATAGTATATCATGGGTGCAAGAGGCGAGGGGGTCGGGAAAAGGGGGAATGGTCGGCGCACTGGTAGTGTGGGGTCCTGGTATCAGTAGAACAAGTAAGGCAAAAGTCCCGTGGTTCAGGTAGCCAAAACCAGGTTGTACATGAAAAGGTCAGGAAAATAGTATCCTGGTTCAAGTAGTGAGAACTGGGCTGTGCACTAGGGTCTTCACCGGAGTAGAACGCCTGGGCATTATGGCCGTATCTAGACTGAAAGTTGCTCCAAATACAGCTATTATGACAGGGCGTTATATTTGTGTGAAGACGGTAGTAGGTCTCAACGGGGTAGATACCAAAATGGTGATAGGAGGCTGTAATTAGTTGGTGAATAGCACCCTGTAGTAAGGCCGGGGCTGTCTAGGACCTGGCATGAGCGATAAAGATCTAACAGGGCATGAGCGGAGTATGGGAGAATAGCCCCTTACATGCCTACATCACACCCATACTGCGAATAGCAGAGCCGCCCTATCAACCAGCGCATGTGAAACAACGCGGGCTGTAGCTCAGACAGGTGCACACGAGAGGAGGTAGGGGTGGGTCTAGAAGAGTGCAGACCTGTTCTGTTACAGCATGCCAGAGGGGATGGCTCCCAGTCAGTTGCAGAAGTGTCTGCCGGGCACGTGAATGCATTAAAATATTAAAATCAGAGGGCAAGGCCCGAATGGCCCTCTTGCTCAGGTGGTATGTGAGGTGGATGCGGGAGTGTGAAGCCGCTTTACAAGTCCTGGTGCGGTACCTGGCCAAAATGTGCATTGGGGACTGTGTGCGTTGAGCATGTTATGTCTGTAGAAGCAATACAATATGTGATTCACGACATTCAACAGCATGAGATATCAAACATCAGGAATACCAGCATATGACACATGCAAAAGCAAGTCCTGAAATTGTCGAAAAGAGTAAAGAGAAAATTGCTAAACCAGTCACTGGTAACATGGCAGCTCATAGCAACGACTTTCAGCAGGGTACTCACTGCGTGGGCAACTGCCCACGTCAACTCAATATCGCACTCTTACAGTCTAGACGTAAGCACCCCAAGTCGATTGGGCGCAAAAAGGAGTTTGTGCGACAAAATGCCAGAACTTATACCGGTCAGAAACAACGTCATGGACCCTTACCAGTAATCATACACAGACTATTAGCAGACACTCGATCACGGTTCGAATCCTACGCTTCACCTTATACTGGTTCAAATCCTACTCGAAGGGACCAACCTCGGGTCATTTAAATCCTATTCAAATCCTAATTGCTACTGGTCCTGCTATACCACACTGCACAAGTAAAGTCGTTCGAAAACTCACTCAGACAATCAAACTTTTTCCTTTTTCTTTTCTTTCTATTTTTCTGTCCTTTTTTTTTTTTTTTTTTTTTTTAACAGGTCCTTATGGCCCTGCCTCCATTTCCATTCTGGGGAGCATCAGTCCGGTTCCTTTTCCACCGGCAAGTCAGAATAAAATATTACATCATGAAAACACACTCACGCTTCCTTCCGTCTGGCCGAAGGAACCCTGACCAGCATTGATTACTCCTGCAAAATGGAGGATCGACTGTCAGCTTGCCTTACTTCCACCTTTCCTCTCAGGTCCATTGCACAAACCTGTCAGATGATTAATAAAGAGCAAGAAACGTTACCTTTCTGATCATTCCAAACCACGTTTTCTGTCTTGTCGAATTGAGCTGGGATGTCGATATTCGGTCGCCTCTCTACATCGAATCAGGCAATGTAGCATATCTTCTGGTTCATTTTCTGAACACACCGCGCATAAATCTGAACTGTAGGGTCATTCTTGCTTCTTCTGATGTGTAGCCACTGGTTAACCGGTAGAGCTACGTATGAGATGAGCCATTGGAGGCTTCTGATTTTGA